GACACTTTAGTTTAGAAGATGGAGCTGCCGTAATATTAATCAGTTGGATACTCCCGACCACGTCTAGTCTAACTCTTAACGCAATGCTAAACCTTGTTCAGTCGATATACATAGCCGGAAAAGCTGCGCCTTCCACTGTGCAATTAGACAACAAGGTGTTGGCTATAAGTTCATTTCTAACTATGAGCCCTACGGAATTTTAAAAAGCTTTGAGTTTTTCTGAGCCTTAACCGATCATCGATACCGATACTGATTCCGACTTGATCCTTCACGACTCATATTCCTTCAAGGGAAGTTTATTATTATTATTATGAATGTTGGGGATAAAACATTGCGACCTTAAGTTCTACTTTAGTATGGAACCTAAATCTATGGATTTTACTTCGCCCTCGGTTATTAGATGATCACGCAGGTGTCTTTTACGTTTGTGCATCAGTGCAGGACACTCTTCTAAGGTGTGCTGTAAGAAGGGAAGTTTAGACGTTCTTTAATATTTTTAATCAGGGGGACAGTGAATTTATCCACGCATGGATCAAAGGTCGATGGACCTTTGACCTGAGGTAAAAAAATGCAGGGAATTTAATGCTTTCGAATGTAGTACCAGTCGAGGATATGAGAAAAGAAGATGGAGGCAGCTCAGCGGGCGCTTCGCGAAAATCTGGAGATGTGAGTTGACTAAGTCCTTCCATAAGCGTCTGCCCTCCCCTCTCAACCCTTAAATGATGAGACAAATTTTATAATTTACTAGAATAAGACCCGCATAATGTAATTAATAGCATAAAGTTAATCTCCGGAACCTCAGATTTTTGATGTATTGCCGAGCCGAGACAATACAGGAAAGTTCAACATTCTGATATTCCGTTCAGGTACAACCTCTATTCTGTCCTCCAGTCTGAGCCACCTCATTTTCGATCGAAAAATATTGATTTTTAAAAGTCCTATACCATTTTAGCTCATATTTTTTAGGGGGTGGTAGCATTAAAATTCCGATTTTACTTATTTTTGGGTCACCCTAATGTACATACAGAACATACTATATATCGTTTCGTTTAAAAAAAAAGTCAACGTCAAGAGTTCGACATATTTCACACTCAAACTTACCCCCAGTGATTGCCTTTTGAAGTCTTCTTCAGCGTATTCTTTTGGAATTGATCAGCTTTCGCTCCAAAATGTGTAGTGGCGAACATTTGCATCAACAGTGAAGCTTTATCCAATAAACTATGCGCTTTGCTGTTCAAAGACTCGTCATTACTTAGTTGTGCTGCATTTCGACTTGTATTTGGATTCAATGAATTGAGAGTGTCTTCTGTTGTGTCCTGCTGTAACGACGCATGCTCTTTACGAATCTTTTCACCTTTCTTCTTGGCAGCATAGCTATTGTAGGCTTCATTTAGTTTCTCACTACCATTGAGCGTCTTCATTTTCGAATCTTCGGTGTCGCATTGCAAAAACGCTATGAAACGTTCAAGATCAGTTATTTGTGTTTTCAACTGAGCCACCAATTGTTCTTTCATCCGGAGCGGACCTACAAATTCACCGATAGCAGTATCAACATGGTTTTTCAACTCTTCGGAACTAAGTTCGGGCAAATCGCGCTCATCAACTTGCAAATTCAATTTGTTCTTAAGCTCATCAATGATAATTTTCTGCTTTTCCAGCAATATGTGTTGTGGCAAGACGGGTGCACCTGATTCATATGCAAGTTTTTCCAATTCACTAAGTTGTGTTTTGAGATGTTCGATTAATTCGAATTGTCGTTGACGTACTGCTTCATCATCGAGCTGTGAAAGGGATGAGTCGTCATTCGTATTGCCTGCTGAGCCGAGTACTATAGGCTGAAAGTGCAAAAGAAACAAGAGACGTTTTTAATGTTGTAAATATGTACCCGTTGAAAATGTTGCTATCCTTATTAAATTTTCAATATTAAATGAAATAGATGAACTTCATTAAAAATTATTTAAATTAGATTGTAATCTAAAGTCTGTAGTTATGAGTGTTTGGCCGAGCTTTTCCTCCAATTTGTGGTGTGCGTATGGATGTTGTTACGTCGCCTTCTCACGACAAATGGATTTTATTAGAAGCTATTTTAAATGCACTCGGATGCCTGCCGAAGGGCGACCGCTGTTAAGAAACCAAACCGTTTCCTACAATTTTTTGGAATGTTGCGTTGGCCAGGGAGCAAACCTTGATTGTGAGTCGGTTTGTTCACCGATCGTTGTCGTAAAGCTCAAATAACGGTGGGCCCAGGACACGTGACGTTTCGAAGGGGTTAGACCAGAGAGGGCTTGAGTTGGTATCTGAAGTGTTGATTGGTGTCGTGGGGGACACTCATTTGGTATGTCAGAGTCGAGGCTGAATAGGTAGAAGTTCAGACGGCTATAGTATCCCAACCGTAACTGGGCAGCTGAATCTCGGCAATAGGTAGAGATTGGGCTCCTATCACGGCAGATCGAGAGTCGTAGTAGGTGGTGGCGGACTCGCTATAAATGTAACTACAGAGGGGTTAGACACAAAGGTAACGCTCGCTCTAAACAGCCACCGTGCAGCGATTCTGGATAGCTGCCGTCTAATGAACTAATCTAACTACTAATCAAAATTCCCATATAGTCCCTAATGTTTTGGCACTGTCCAGAAAATCTCAGTTACAGAAATCTAGCCAAGCTCTAGACGGAATCAGGGCTTGGTCTGGAGTCGGATGGGAGATCAGAATAAACCGATACACATACAAATATTTATTTAAATTAAGACATGGTGGTTTGGTGGTTGTGGTCAAAGACAAAAATCAGTTGCCTCCTCTGGTTGTAAGCTATGCAAAGTCAAGCCATTTATAAGGTTCTGGAAGAGTGCTGTGGAGATACATAACGTTTTCTATGTTCTTTGTTCTTTTATTAACAAAATATGAAATATAGTAGTCTAAAGAAGTTAGAAGTTGTCGAGAAGTAGTACTTGGCTGAATCAGTAGTGGGGAGTGTGTATGTATTAAGTGCATTAATGAAGAAGGCGGAAACGTGACGACATTTTTTGACGTTTTTAACAGTTAACCCCTAACTCTCGAGAATTACTATTTCCTTCATGTTTCTCTCAAGGAGAGCAAATTTCATTTCATTTTCATTTATTAAGAAAAGGGCATTAGAACAATAAGATCATAGATCTTTTATACTAGTACAAAACAGAGATTAAAAATACAAATAAAAATAAAATACAATACTTAAGGCAAAAATAAAAATAAAATATATCACATTGAATTTACATATCTGGCAAAGATCAACACAGACGACAAAGTGAAAGTTAAATGTTTAGCGAAACTCAGATTGAAAAATTAAAATATAAAACATATGTATGTATGTAATTATTTAGTTCAGCGGAAGTACGTATAAATTATGTTCTTAAAGTAGCTTATATTCAATCCACACAATGTCTTATTCTAAAAAAGAAGTATTTTTATATGAAGTGAAAATTTGGAATAAAAAATCGGGCGACTTTTTTTGTATTATTTTGACATCTGGCAGCACCAACATCTGTGTTCATTTGCAAGCCTTGGATATAATCGAAGAAAATTGTATGGTGAATTTTTAATTTTAACAACAAATTACTTAATAACAATAAGCCTCCTAAAGGTGGAGCCTTCACTTTTGGAAACAGAAAAATACCCTCTAACCCCATCATTTTTGGTTTTTTCATATTTGGACAGATATTGAGGAAAAATTTCCCGTTTGTTTGAAAATAGATTGTTTTTTTTGGAATTTTATATAATTTTTTGAAACATATACAGCAACACTGATAAATACATACATACGTATATATTTATAAAACTAAAACTTAATTCTAACGGGGCGCATATTTACTCTTCTCCACTTTCAATTACCTAAATCCTAAAACTTACTTCCGGTATGCCGCGAAAAGCAAACTCCTCCAAATCCTTTAGTAATTGATCACGCTCGTGTGATGGTGCCTCCACTATTTGTCGCACCCTCAATTGAACATGAGCAAAATGCGAAGTCAATGCCATCAAAGAAGATGTTAATAATTCTTGTTCTTCCTCCATGCTCCTTAAACGTCCCAATTCACTAGGATCATTGCGCAACAAATCCTGCTTATCCTGACTATCAGAACTTAAAAGTTCTAATTCAGATTCGGGACTTAATAGTTCCGATGTAGGGCTTATTGCATCGTCATAATTCGCGCCTAAAGGTGACCAACGTTCGCTAAGCGGATGGGGTGATGTTTGATCAAAATGCTCCGGGGCCAGCAATGTATCATCGCCAAAAATTGAAATTGTTTCTTTACATTGCTCAAACAGATGGTGCTCTGTATTTTGTAGATTAGTTCGCATTAATTTTACTGTGCTGTTTTTAACGTCTGCTTCTGCTTCTGTTTCATCTTCCTCTTCCTCCACTTCTAGTTGATTTACTATACACTCATATGGTATTGGCTTATGTGTGTAAGGGGTTGATTGTGCAGCTGTCGGTGAGGGTGTTGAATTTCGGGAGGTGGTGGGTGTTCTCGCCTCCATCGGTGTTTCAGTTGCATTGCTTACGCTACATTGACTGTTGCAATGACGCTGACGAAAAATCGTTTCCTCCTCGTCAAGTTGTTGACCTTCGTCCCCGTAAACATCCCCCACGTCTGTGCGCTTATTTGCCACCTCCACAACTGAAACTGCACAAACACAGTTGTCTTTGTTGTCTGCAGTGGATTTTTCACGTAGACTGAAATCCTTATCGAATTTTTCTTCCATCTGTTCACTTAGTAAACTATTCATTTTTTGTAAACCTTTTTTTTACACGTCACTTA